AGGGAGAATCAGAAATTTTCTCCTCTCCCAATGAGAGCAAGAGAATTGGACTAATGTCAGAGTGCTGAATGTTTTTAATTACTTAAGGGAAAAGTGCCAATCAAAAATGTTTTATCCATCACATTATCCTTCAGGTACTGAGAACATAGAAAATTGCTTTGATGTGCTACAACTCAGGGGATGATATACACTTGTGTGTTTCCCATAGATTCAAAAAGAAGATGGCCTTTATCCCAACAAAAAGTGGGAAAACTGATGTTGAACATTTCATTTATTTAATTGTAGAACTAAGACGAATACGTAGTGGGCCCATCAGTTGAAAGAAGACATGAGCGTTCCATGTCTGACAGAGGAGGGCAACACAGATAAAAGTGGGTAAAGGGGGAGGAGTTAACAGGGGAAGTAAATAATATTGTTGATTGTTCTTTAGATTATGTAGGAATCAAAGGATTATTTTGAGAACTAATGGGTAGTAAAAGATTAAGATAGAAAAATCAGAGATTAGGGTAATTATAAAAAGTATTACAAACAAACTCCAGAAAACTAGTAGAATAAAAATATAAAGCTTCCCAAATGACAAATGCAATTTTAAAAAGCAAACAAAATAAAGAAAGAGTGAAAAAACCATAGCAAATATAACATAATACATAGAATTGAGACCAATACACATTATCAAAAAACATGACTGAGTGTAAATTGTTTCTGAAGAAAAAATATTTTCAAATATGCCCAGAAATGAACTAAAATGGAGTGATTAAAAATACTGAAATTATGGACAAGAAGACAGATTTGTCAGACAAATACCATGAAAGAAAGAAAGAGAGAAAGAAAGAAAAGAAAGAAAGAGAAAGACAGAGAAAGAAAAGAAAGAAAGAAGCAAATTTGCAGTCCTCATAACTGAGTAAGTAGATTTCATTGCCAAAAGCATTAAATTAGGCCTAAAAAAGCTTTAGCATACTATTCTTGGAATCAGACAAGTCAAGTAAACTAAAAATTAGAAAGGAAACAGAAGATGTAGACAAAAACAATAAAGTGCATCTTTGGGATGTACAGTTGAGCCTTGACCAGTATTGGTTTGAACTAGATGGGTTTACTTTGAGTGGATTATTTTCAATAGTAAATACTACAGTGCTAAACTGTGTAATCCAAGGTTGGTTGAATTTATGGATATGGAACCACATCCACTGTTATTAATATATATTATATTAAGGCTGACTTAATAAATTATTCATGGATTTTTTTTTTTACTGTATTGGAGGGCCTGCTCCCCTAAACCCCCATGTTGTTCAAGGTCCACTGTATTTCAAATACTACACTCTACCACAGGGCCTATAACTTCTCAAGCACATATGGAATGTTTCCCAAATTGATCATATCCTAGAGCAAAAATAAATAAAAGCAGTTTCTACAAGATACAAATTTACAAACAAAACCTGAACATAAACTGGAAGAAACAGGAAAGTGCTTTCACTTTGTAATTGAAAGACATAACACTAACCAATTATTTGATAAAATGAGAAATACAAACAGTGGTTACAGAATTTCAAAAAATAATGATAATAAGAACACAAAATATCAAAATATATGAAGTATATTTAATGCTTAGAGAAAACATATGGTGGTAAAATTATGTACTAATAAAAATGAGTAAACAATAGACTTTTTTAAATTTTGGTTGTTATATTTTAAGCTCTTTAATTTTCATTTTTAAACATTTCTGTTTCTTGGTTGAGATTCCTTATCACTTTGCTCACACTGCCAATATTTTGTAAACCCTTGAATATATGTTAGTTGATATAAAGTCCTTATCTGCTGAATGTGACTGCTGGGTGATCTCAGAATTAGGTTATATCTAGTGCAATTTTTTCATGTTGGTCAGATTTTCCTGTATCTTTTCATGTCTAATGAGTTTGGTTAGTGGACATTGTGAATAGTATGTAATATGTTCTAGACTCTGAATTCTGTTATGTTCCTCTGAAGAGTAATTTTTGTTCTCGCACAAAATTACCCTGGACAGACTCAAGCTCCAATCTTCCCTACAGCTTCCATCTGTTGCATTTTTACTGGTCTCCAAGGAGTCTCCTCCAGGTACACACGCCTTAGGTTAGTAATAAACCAAGGATTTGGGCAGATTTTATTTCATATTTGAGGGCTCACTCCTTCTTTGGGTCCTACTGTTCCTGGACACCTCACACTCAACCTTCTGGTTGTTCTTCCATCCTCAAAGTCTACCTCTTGACCTCTCAAACTAGTAAGGCTGTGGTTTTCTGACCCTCCAGCCACTAGCAAACTAAAAAGTGCCTCACAGTAAATGTCCACACTTGAAGTTCTCATTAATTGCACTTCCCTTATTCCAATGGTAGATTTCTTCCATTTTCTACCTGTTTTTAGTCCATCTATGGTGTTTTCAAACAGGTTCTTTTTTCTTAATTATAATTTCTTAACTTCATCATTGTTATTTTGGTGATTAAGAAGACAGAGATACTTCTCCATTATTAGAAGCCAGAAGCTCCTAAATGATTGTACTGAACTCATCTTTAATTAAGAGCTAAAAGCATGTTCATCAACAGTGTAATATCCAACAGAACATTTCAGGTGTTAACATTTTAAAAGATTACTAGATAGCACCTTTTCTTCTCTGTCCAAGAAGTAATTAGGAATAGACATAGGGATAAAGTAGAACATAAAGTCATCTACGATTCTGAGTGTATCGGCCAACACTTGTCTCTGAGTTAAATGTTCACAGATCTACCTGAATTGAAGTTCTCCTTCTGTAGGGATTAGCCCTGTAAAATTTAAAAATGGCGTTGTAGGGAATGCAAGCTCTCTCCATTAAAATCTGAAAGCAAAAATAAATGATGAAAAGACCTGAGCCAAGTGGATCAATTTCCACTTCCTGCATTCACCAATTCTATAAACCACACCTGAATAAGAGCAAATGTCAGGGGGAAGTAAGTTTGGGGTTCTCCACATGGAAACTTGAAAAGTAAGGTTAAATATTTTTACTTAACATCTGTCATAATTTTTTCAAACATAGATGATTTTTATTCTCTCTCAGTGTTTCAATAGACTATACATTCTTTGAAGATTGGAAAAAATGTAAAAGTTCTGTTACCTCTTATTTCACAAATTGTTTCATACTTAATATGATCAAGAAATGTTTGTTGAAGTGTGGAAGGAAGACGTTGAGAATGGACTAAGAAAGAAAACATTTTAGAATTACACAATATATTAAATTTTTATAGATGCCTAAGATAGACTGTTGAACAATACATAACAAGTCTTGCCCCTCATGTAACTTACTGTAGGTTATTCTGATGTAGATCCAAAAAAACAAGTAAAAAACTTTCAATTTCTCCTGAGATTCCTTGCCAATCCAACTATATTTTTCCCTATGTGATTCTGTTAAGAGTGTTGATAAGGCAGTCATTTATTGTTGAATTATGAGTTGCTAAGTTAGGGTAGTTTATATAAGTTTCTTGGTAGATATTTTTGGTGGGAAGGAACAAGTATATACTCTTATTACCTTAAAAACATTTTTTTAACTTAATGCCCGCCACATAACAGCAGCTCTGATGTTAATGCATGGATGTGTTAATCTTTTTCTCTCTCTCTTTTGTTTGACCTGGTCATCATTCGTGCCATGTCATCTCACAAGTCCCAGGGAAGTTCTGCTTAGGTTAAGTATCCACTTGTGGTCCAATCAGACCAGGGATTATGTCAACTTTATATCACTGTGTCATCACTGATGCCTGAATCTTCAAGGTAATTTTTTAATGCAACAAAAAGTTGGGACTGAGACCTAAATATTTACAACAGTTCTTCCAAATTTAAAAAGCATAGAGGAAAAAAATCAATTAATAATACAATGTGATAAAAATTGTAGATCATTCTTAGGAATAAAAATGCAAATGTAGCAAGAATCCTAAGGATGTTTTTCATATCTGAACCTACATCATAGAAAGGCCAGTAAAATATTAGCATAATTCTTAGAGAAAGCAAGTTGATTTAGACAGTTTAGTATGGTTGAAAAAGGTTGGAGGGAGCTTTCTGAATGCACTGGTTAGTAAAATTAAAATTGAAATGTTCAATACCAAACATAATAAGCTTAAGGGTAAAGTTGTTCCTAATTGAAAAACTTACCCTTAAGAGAAATGTAACACCAAATTAAGGAGAACAAAAATAGCACAAAATCCTTATGATTTTCAGAAACCTATGAAGAAACCTTAATAGGCTTAAAAATGAAATTAAAGGAAAAATCCTAGCCCTTTATTTTAAAAATGTGATAAAAAACAGCATGCAGGTTTAGAATAAGTGATCTGAAAACTCACATATTTCAAAATAGTTTTTTTGTTGTGTTTGCTTCTTTTTTGTGTTGTTCACAGATGATCTTTAAGCAGACAGGCCATTTGATTTTGCTGCGTCATTTATTTCTCATGATTTTGTTATGTAATTGGTACCCAGTAAGATATATTGATAACTCTATATGCATTATATTTTACTTTACAAGTTCTTTTATGCATATCACCCAAAGTATTCAAATGAAGCAAATGATAGAAAACTGATCATGGATCTTTATTAGCTTAAAAAAAAAAGCTGAGAAAAAAATGACGAGATTTAAAGATCGTTAAACAAATGTAACCTAGATATTTAATTTTTAGAAGATTCTAGATCTGTTTGTATTCTTTATACATAAGAGCCTTTAACTGTGAAATCTAGACACATTAGTGGCTGGAAATCACTTCTTAATATTGCATAAGTTTGTAACAAAAATCAAGGACAGAAAAAACATTTCACCATGCATGGTAAGGCCTCACATCACACAGCACACAAAAATAACTACAATAGTCAACGTTCTTAATTCTTCTTAATTTAGAACTTTCTTAGTGCTTAAATAGATAAATGTCCTAAAATGTTGCTACAAATTAATGCTAATACTACCTTTGATGAAAATTCTTCATAATTTATAAAAGCTGTTCTTTCAAAACAGTAAATATCAGAGCGTCTGATAGTTATTCTCAGACATAAGCATGCAGAAAACAAAACCATCAACAGAGGCATTAAACACATTAAAAGTTTGAAAGGATCCCTTAGTGCTCTACTTTTAATTTATTTTTACTTGTTTGGTATCTAATTGTATTCACGTTTCCTTTGAAGTTTATAATATACATCTGGTTCTTCTGGATTCTTTAAGAAACTTGTAAGAGCTTTCATGAGATGCCACAGTCTTAGAAGAACGACAAAAATTAAATTAAAAACATTTCCAGCATAAAAATTTAAACAGGGCATTCATTCTTCAGGTCCAGGGAGCACAAGTGATAGAACCAAAGCTGCTTAAATTTTACTGGCAAAAAAAAGAAATCCTTATTTGCTTAAAATTTAATATAAGTTATTTTACCCAGTTTTTCAAAACTAGATCAGAGACTGGTTCCTAAAGGAGAACGTGAAACCTTTGAACTGTTAACAAAACTGTGATCATAAAATTCAAAGTTCTGTGTGTTTCTTTGCTTAAGAATCTATAAATATTTATGAGCTATTAGACATATATCTATTCAACAAGAAGGTTCAGTTTTGAATCTACTAAGTAAGTGCTTGTTTCTTTGTACTCAAAATATGAATAATCTTGTACAATGAATTATTTTCAAATAAATAGTATAACAATGCCACTATCTCCAGGGGGGATTCTAGTCTTTATTACAATTAAATTTTAAATTTGAATCAAAGGTGTCAGAAAAGGAAAGGCTGTTAAATTCTGAGAAAATATTTGATGCTTTCGTGTAGCTTAACAAATCATTTTTACTTGGAGTATGCTACAGAGTCAATTTTC